TGTAAAGGGTGTAAAACGTCAGCACACCCTTTTTACACCCACCGATATTCAGAAATAGTGTAAAAAGCGTGTAAAAAGGGTGTTTTTTCTAGCCTACACCCTTCTTACACCCTTTTTACACGATTATGGGTATTACAATGTTTAGTGTGTGGTTCCAACGGACGCAGTCGCGGATACGTCACCGGCGGGTAGGCAAACGAGCGACCCGGGCAGCCACGAAGCGGCTTTCGGGGTGCCAGCGATCGAGATTAGTTTTTCACAGCTTCAAGGTTGAAAGTTCCTTTGCGATTGTTAGAAATCTGTGCTCTGCGGTACATAGAAGAGCCAGTGCCAGAAAAGACGTGTTTTTTGCCCCTGCTTTTGTGAGGGGTAAAAACGCGCTCCCCGGCAGACAGTGGTGGGCAACCACGTCAAGGTGTTTTTGAGCGAACTTTGTGCTCAGAGGGAACTTTAGTGTCGCAAGAAACATTCTCGCTTATGCTCGAAATAGTTTGTAAAGTTACGGGCTCGAATACGGTACGGGGCTACATACTTTATAGCCCCGTGCTGCGAGTTCAGTACCCTTCTGCAGCTGGAACAGCTTCGACAGCGACAAGCGCTGAGTCAAGCCGGCTGTAACTACTACAACATCCGCCCAAAGAGGATTGCTACTAACATGGAGGAACAATATTTCAGATTCTAGTACTATAGTCGGCATCTGGTGCAGTCCTATTTGTTGTTCACAATTACTTCAGTGATTTTTTAAACTTTATTATAAACACTATATTTGTTTTGGACATCGAATCTAGCTCGGGCTACTCTTGGAGTTCCACTGATCCACTCACGCGGCCGATCTGTTGAAGGCGAGAAGTGAAACGTGTAAACAAAGTTCAAGTCGGAGCTTAGACATTACTTTCGACCCACTGCTATTAGTGTCTGGTATTACAGATGTTTAGGGAGGAGGTGTTGAGCTTCATTTCTATACATTTTGAAAAACAGCGCGAATACCACACGGACAAGAAGAAGGAACACACAGGACAAGGCGCGTCGTCCTGTGTGTCCCTTCTTCTTGTCCGTGTGTTATTTGCGCTGTTTTTGAAAATGAATTCACACCAACTCGCCCAACTTTCCATTCTAGTATGCTTCATTAATATACGATAGAGCCATTGCCTGGTTTGTAAAATGGTAGGCATGCAATTTGCTCTCAGAGAGGAGGTGGTGAAAATGACTTTATCTTATTTTATTGCAGAGAAATGTTATATAGGCCTGAAAGGTTGTTAGAACTATGAAAATATCATTGTCGTTGAGGAGAGGTATCCGAATTTACAGTTGATGGAGGCCGTGCAAAACCAAAACATAATTTTAAAAAATCGTATATAGAGTTACTCTTCCCCATGTGCACTCGTGGATGAGTGTTTGATGAGCGTGTTGCATTTTACTCTGACAATAAAAAGAAAATACCGATACAAAATATTTTGGAGGTAACATTTGTTAACTTAGTTTGTATAGTAAAAACTGTATGATGCATTTTTGTACTTTACGCAAAATTTTGAGCAAATATTCTTTATTTAAAGATGAATAGTGCATTTGAGTATATTAGACGCCTTTCATTGCACCTTGATGTATGGCTTGGTGGTTGCGAAGTTTTTTTTTAAATTAATTTTTGTGGCGATCTTTACGAAAAGAAGGCTGCCATCTGGCCTACTCGAATGCAGTTCATTCCATTCCATATATTCCAATGTCTACAAGAATCACAACCTACATCTGTTAGGTCAGCGCCCAGCACGCGCAAGTTCATATCTTTCGAAGGCGAGCAAAGTACGCACCACGAGCACGAATGCTGAAAATGGCACCGACCAGAAACGCTTTTCTGGAATGGTCTATAGATATTTTGCTAAATAACTTTAGCACCAAGAGGCATATGCATGCTACAAGGGTAGTCACACGTGCTGGTGTCTGCAACGGTAACTTTTCTAGATAAATTCTAGAACAAATGAGACACACTTGTTCAGGTACGGCGAGCGCGTGGGGCACCTGGCAACCATGATTTTAAGCCACAATATGGTCAAGTGTCGTTAATCTGAAACGCAGCTTATTTAGTGGCACTAGTAGTAACAACATATGAAAAGGTATGTACTCTCCTTCCGATTTCAGTGTGGACGGTGACAGTGTGCGGCTCTGAAGGTCATCTGTATCCACATTTCGAGCATTCTTCGTGGTGCTTGGATAATTTCTCAAAAAATGTATTGCTTGACTCGTCAACATTTCTTCACCAGTGTAACTGCCAGCTTCTGATAGAAGAGCAACGGATTTGCTAGCGATTTCACGAAACTAGCGAGCCGCTGCTTCAGCGTTCCGAGGGGCAAACGCTTTTCTAAAAATTTCAATTGCATATGTTTTCTTACTTTCCCACGGTTCCACACTTAAGCCAATGTCATACTTTGTGCAAATAGAGATTATTATCATTTTTAAATAGCACGAACGCCCATGTTTCCTCCTTAATACATGCGAGTAAGGCGGACGCAAACGTACCCGATTGTCGGCCGCGCTCCTCGCTGCCCGTCGGTGATATCAAGTTTGGGTGGCGGAAAAAACTGGGAAAAAACTAGGTAGAATGATGTTTCGGTTTCGGCAGCGAACAAAATATAACGTTTTTTTTTAAAAAATTAACTGTAGTGAATCTGGGAGAACGCGATAGCATTTCGCAGTCAGGAAGCTATCCGTACTCAGAAGATGCCTTTCGATTAGGTAGCTCGAAAAATCGACAGAGTTCCCCTTTAAGCGGTGTTTTCGGTCTCCGCCAACTACGTTCTACTGTATTTGGCGGCTCTTGGATGCTGTGTTTGGTAAGCTCCCTTTCGTCGTGACCTTGTGTATAAGCAGAGACGTCAGGAAATTTCAACTCGAGCTTAAGTTAATATATTTTTGTATATGAAATGATTGATATATCGAACTATTTTACGATCCCCTTTGAATTCGATATATCCGGGTTTGACGATATACCAAAAAGTCACAGCTTTGCATATGCAAAGAAATCGCATGTAAGTACGGCACATGCACCAAACACAAAGCCTGCTCTGCGGGTTCCATGTGCCCGCTGTTTTGGATTGTGGGCAGCGTGCTCCTTTTATCTGCCTCTCGCAGTGCACACTGGTGCTTGAGGGTGTAAAGCCATAGCCTTGAGTATACAGTAGACTGTAGCTAGTTGCATCCAGATGGCAGCCAAAGAAGCCGGTGTTGCACACCTTCACCTTACGATTGGTGATGACCTCGTGTTTCTGCGTAAAGTTCTTGCTTGTGACGCCTTGACGCCACCGTCGCCTCAAGCAAAATATCCTTCCAGCAGCACTTCCACTTAAATTGAGTCGTTGGTCACCATAGGCCACCACGAGTGCTGTACCGCTGTAGCACGCATGCGGCAGGGGTAGCAGTGGCGATGAATTACCGATGATCTCCTCTGTGTCTCTTTTCTAGATCGAAATAATGCTGCTGTTGTTTTGTTTTCACTATTTTGTTACACTGTTTGTACCGAAAACGTAAGCAAGCGCAAATTATACCGGCAAATTACGGGAAGTCTGAGAGGTTGGTGCACGAAATGTGCAATGATATTAGTGCTGTCAAACAGAGCGGTGAGCGCCAGATTGCTTGACGGAGCCTCCTCTCAGTCACCACTGTTTTTGTCTTAAAAATGGCGTATTTCCGCGGTGCTTTTTGCAGACTATGTTGTAATGCGATAGCATTGCTTGTCTCTTGAGGAGGCCACATTCCACCAATAAAATTGAGACAAAGCTGATAGGCGGGTAACTAAGATCAAATTTCCACACATTTTCCTTCGCTTGTTCGGTCTGCTTTTTCCTCTTGCGAGGCGTTGTGAAGACGGCGGCACATTCGGTGATTACTCCGTCCCACAATCCACCTATGTGCGTAATATGAGGAGACTAGAACATCACATTCAGCTCTCCCATTGCTCGTGCACGTGTGCGATAAGGAGAAGAGGACGGTACGCGTACCTAACTCTCTCACACATGTACATGCATTTAGATGAACTGAGCACCCCTCCCCCCTTCCCCCAAAAAACTACTGCATAAAAAAGAATTTTTTCTTAAAAAACTAAGTGCATACTTTTGAATTAAGTAGCAAGTTGCCGGATGTTTGCATCCAGCTGTGTTGTCAAATCGCAAAATGCCTTTTTCGTTTTTTTTTTTTAGATTAGTGTCAGCAGGGACATCACGAAAAGAACGCCCTACAGGCATCCTTTTTTCAGCCGACTTCATAGAGGCACACAACAGTACTCGGCTATTTCAACAAATCTTCGTGGCAAAGAGTATACAATCGTGCCAAACGTCAAGCGCTAAACTGACCGAATCGGATGACACAGACCCTGTCGGGTCGGACCGGTCTGACCCTGTTAAAGGGATGGTGAACCGTAATTTGGATTAAAAAAAATAAAGAAAAAGAAAACAATGCTGGAGATGTAGGCGGGACGCCACAATCCCTACAACACTACTAGTAAGGCGATATCTCAAATGGACGGCCGTATTTTTGGAAAAAGAAGCCGAGATAGAACCAGGCCGACGAGGCGCGTGACCGTCAAGATACCTAGTTTCCTCCTCTCTTCGTTTCGCTGCTTCAAGGCCGCGAGGCGGAGAAGACGCGAGTCCATTCCCTCGCCTTCTCGGAGAAACATGACGTCAACATTCCTGCCAAATCCGCCTCTCTTCTTGAAAAATACGGTCATCCGTACGAGATATCGTTGTATGAGTGATGTTTTGGTGTTTGTAGCATCCCGTTTCACGCGTTTGCCGCGTTTTTTGGGGAATCCAAATTTCGGTTCAGCATCCCTTTAACCGAGTGTCTTTACGCGGTTGCCACGAGTGGTGGAAGGGGAGCTCGAGCGATGGCATAGGGAATGTTGTGTTGTCGAACACTGAAAGTGTCTGACTTATCTTTAGGTATAGTTGAGGGAATATATTTTTTGGTTGTTTCTGTGCATTGTACAATGCACTTGATATATGTTGCAGGATTCACAGTGAACTCTCAGAGTTGCTGAAGAACAGCGACTACATTGTGAATGCCCTACCAAGCACACCAATCACCACTGGTATGCTGAATGGTGAGGTTCTCAGAAATTGCCAAAAGGTAAGCTCTTTTTTTACTTTGTCAGGCTTTTAGGATTATTTGCTAATTCAGACATATACCCATTGTCTGACAGAATATCATACTGATCAGTGAGCGCTTTGTCACAAAATATCATACTGATCAGTGAGCACTTTGTCACCTAAACCAGTGGTGTAGTCAGAGGGGTGCTGGTGGTGCTTCAGCCCCCCCCCCCCCCCTCTTTTCAGAAATCTCGCCGACTTTATAATAAATGCATGCATTTCACCCCCCACCCCACCGTCCCAAAAGTTAGGGGCGGCCCATTCACCTCAAACCGCCCCCCCCCCCCCCCAAAAGAAAAAGAAAAACAAATTCGCCACTGATCTATAAAAGAAGGTTTTCTTCTCAATAAATGGAATTTTTAGACATAGACAATTCAATCCATTATTTTTGTGGTGAACTTTGTTCTGAACACAATTTTATGGGAGCCACAATTAAGTGCACCAGTTGTATGCTTTCAAGCTGTCTTTATTTGCTGTTATGGTATAGAATGCCATGTTCTTATTTATACATTTGTACTGCCCCTTGCACCGACTATCGTTTATGCACTGTTGACCCAACAATGGCAGCAAAATCAAAAAAAGTCAAATTGGACGTTTGAGTGATTTATACAGCGTAAGGTTGGTCTGCCAGTAGGGGCGACACTGGTTTACACTGTAGATGAGCAATTTAGCCAGTGCAGTACAACCGCTAGCCTGGGGTCTTTAGCGTGCACCACGCAGTAGAGATACACGACCGCACGCCGGTACGATGCTCATCCAGATCGAAACGGGCAGGGGTGGGGCTCGAACCCAGGATCCCTGGGTTCAGCAGCGCGAGCTTCCGCTCCACGCGCGTCGAGCTGGGTGTGCGCTTCAGCCCACTCGGCCACCGATCCCCCCAACAATGGCAGCAGTTTGTGGGCAGCACTTCAAAGCTTGAAGAGGGCTATGTGTCAGTAATCTGTCGTACACTTGAATTGATTTGTACACAGTATCAAGGTAAATGGCGCCAAGGACTCGGGGTTTTCTAGTACTTACTAAGGCAGCGGTTCAAAAACTGTAGTCTGCAGACCCCGAGGAGTCCTTGGGGCCGTTCATGGAGGTCTGTGACAAATAAAAAAAAAATGCTCTAAAACAAATGTCTCTTACGACATTTCACAAGACGTCTATGCAAAATGCATTGTGGGTCCCCGAAGGACCCATAAGTGGGTCAGGGGGTCCATGACGGCCGGAAGTTTGAGAATCGCTGTACTGAAGGATGCAAGCTACCTCTAGTGGGATATTCCTTATATAGCGCTTCATGATTAGCAACCTTGCAGCACTTCCACTGAAAGGAAGATTAGACTGCCACTTCATAAAACAGCCACAAGAGCATCACAGCCTGACCATTCACAGCTCCAACGGCACGCATTTATTTCCCTTTTTTCTGTTTCACATTTCGGCTGCCAGGCCGTGCTAATTTTCGCCACACACTTGTATAGCTGGTGGCTCCTTGCTTCTCTTCCTTGCGTCGTTTCCACTTGCTTTTGTTGCTTCCTCTGAAGTTGCAAAAAGGGTAATTAATAATTCATAAGGGTGCACTAAAGACGTTTTTGAGATCGTCTGTTCCTGGTGAGAGCTCATTCTACGGGATCTTAGCATCCAGGAAATTGAAAAATTAGGCTTGTGCGACGGCTATTTTCCTACCAAAAATGTGATCGAAATTTGTGCCACTCCCCTTTTTGAGCGCAAAACGCTGGAGCACAGAATTCAGCGGAGGCGCCAGCGGCGTGACGACGAGCACGCTTCAGCCAATCGCAAGCGGAGGCGCTGTCGGCGCCTCTGCTAGATTCTGTGCTCTAGATTTTTTCGCTCAGAAAGAGGCATGGCACAAAATTCTATCACGTTTTTAATAGAAAAATATACGTCGCACAAGCATACTTTTTTTGGATTTCGATGATGCTTGGAGCTCGTAAAATGAGTTGGCCCCAAGAACAGACGATTTCAGAAACGTTTTTAGTGCACCCTTAAGACAAATTAAGGAGTAAAGGTGGAGAGTACTGGGTAATACCTTATCACATTTGAAACCCCTATACCAGTGGTTTTCAAAGAGGGGTCCGCGGACCCTCCGGGGTCAGCAAAGCCTTGCCTTATCAGTGAAGCCCAGTAATAAAAGTGAGGAGCTTTTTTTTGAACCATCGTATGTATCCCATAGAAATGATCATCACTATGCGGAGGGCAAGTTGGTCTGCTTCTTGCGGAGGGTTTGCATTGTCGTCAGAACGCCGAGCTCTGATTGGCTCGATTGGAAAGATAGTGGGTCGCCGCTACCCAGGGTCTGAGCGTCGTCTGCTCCATTTCAACATCGTCTGCTATTCAACAGCTGTCTTACCTATACGATCGAGCTCGACTTCGCCTTTCAATGAGGGCAGACGAGATAACTCGAGCGGCACGATGAGTTTTTGTCTAACAACTAGCAGACACGTATCAAGGAGCGAGCGAGCGAGCGAAGAATGGTACCTCGCGTTTAATGGGTTGTTCAAAGATAATCAGCTAACGACAGATGACAGCCGATTTAGTGACTGGAAATAAATAAATGTGGCTGTGAGGTCGCTACTGTGAGCACATCATAGCCCAAAAGTGCTCGATCGCTACTTTTTGTCACATTTTTCTCGCGCGACTAAAAAGCTATCGTCAATTAGGGTATTCGGGTACGTATGTTTGACATAAACCTAGGTGGTGAAAGTGTGAAAAGAATCTGAGCAAGATCGATTGAGCTACCCGAGCGGCGTCGAGCGTATCGCGGAAGATCTATCGTAAACTCGTTGACACCGAGAAGTAATTATTGTTTTTATTTTTGGCGAAATTTTATGGAATTTTATTTTTCTATACCCTGTTATTTAAACAGACGAACACTTGCTCGGGGGTAGTCTGATAGACTTCAATTAGCCCTCTGTATTTGCTCAAGCCTCTGTTTTCTAAGCTTACAAGGATAAAAACACGCTGCTTCCTTCAGTGTAGCATGCATGCGGCCCCGGACATCGAAGGGCATCACAGACTTGTTATTGCTCTGTTTCGTCCGGCTAGGAACCGCTTGTTCCTCTAAGAAGGGTGCAAGGCGCAAAAAACCAGGCACCTATTTAATAGGCTAGAGTTTCGCTCGTTATCGGAATTACCCAGACAAGTCACTACACCAACTAAGAACGGACATGCACCACCATCCTCCGAATCAAGAAATAGCTCTCAATCTGTCAATCCTCCCAGAAACTTAAAATGCGACACACTGTCGTGAATGCGCCCTCCACACCCGAAGAATCAGCACGTTTTCGTTTAACCTGGTAACATTGCCGCTGGGACTGCGCCTGATCGGAGCTCACGGCTACAGCCATAGCTGCTACAACACATTCGCCATTGCCGACGCCGAAATATTTACATCCGCGTCTCCCCGCCCCCCGGAGCTTAGTGTAAGCTACTCTTCTACCTTCACACCTCCTTTTCCGTGCGCAGGAGACCGAATCGAACCCACTTGCGAGGGGCATGAATTCAACGCTCCTTTCAGTCGCACGATCTTTCTTTGATATTTTCATCTCAATTACCACTAATGAATAGAACCACCTGCCCAACTCCATCGCCACAATCACAGACGCTCCGGCATTCAAGTCTGCCATTCAAAACTATTATGTTAACTAATATGTGTTGAAATATATTTTTTGTACTTTTGAACTTCCCCACCCTTCTATAACTCCGTATGGCATTGAAGGTATTGAAATAAAATAAAATAAAAATTAAATCACTGTCATGGTTAACCTTTACCTTTCCCATCCCCTCACAACGCCCAGTTTGACCTGTGTGTGGAAAACCTTATGCTAATAGTAGTATGCAATAGATGACCTCTCTTTGACTTCTGAGCATGGTCTACATGTGCTACCTTCATGTGGTCTCTTTGTTCAAAATGAAACACACCAATGACTATAGACATATACGTTCGAAACCCCGATTTTCAGAACTTGTCTTCTTGTTTCGACCACCACATGTCTGGTCAATGGACTGCGCCAATGCCACAATATCACGCTTAGGAAGATTTTGGGTTACGGTATGACTGTCAGCCCAAAGAACACAAAATGTGTAGTGCTATTTTTGTTGGGCTCATTTTTTTTTGTCTCTGTGTTCTATTATACGCAGCAGTGATTCGTTTACTTGGTTTCCTCAATTTCTTCTCTTCTCAGTTTAGCCTGCATATTTTGGTACTCATGTTGGATTCAAATGCCACTTCCCCGTCATATCTCTCTTCCGCTGCAAGAGGCTCTGATGCAGCCTGTAGCATTGTTTCGAATGACATTGTGAGCCTTAGCCAGTACTATTTGCTAAGCATTAGCATGCTTCATCTACAAGGTTATCTTGTATGGAAGTTATCTTGTATGGAGCCCAAATGAAGCACTCTTTGCGCTTATTCTGACAGCTAATTCACAAACATTGTTTATTTAACATCAAACTCTCCACAACAAATGTAGCTCTTTTTTACCGGCTCTCATCGGAGCGCTTGGCTGACGTGGTTGAACGCTGCGATAGCGTTCGGCCGGTAACCGTGCTCAATCAGTGAAGCACTGATTGAACACGAGTCCCAGTTGAACGCTGCTGCAGCACTCGTGTTCAACCTTCTTTCTAGAGCCGCCAAATAAGCCAGGCTTTAGAACAGTTACCCTTCAGCCTTTCTTGTGCTGAAAATCACGGTGGCCAGTTCTTTCATGCTTTATTTGAAATTGCAGGAAACGCTCTTCCATCCTCCAGAAGCGTTAAAATAGTAACAAAACAGGCCAGTATCAACTGAGCTTCCTAAGACTGCATCTAGAGCTGAGGAAGTCGCATTTTTTAATTGTGACGATCGAGAGTTGCGTCTGCTTCGCACTAAGCACCAAGATGGCGTCTCCCACTAGCAGATCGGGGAACGGAGTGCCGATACTCTAAGCGTTGCGCATTTAGTGGCTTTACTTCTTCCTCACCTCGATCGAGATAGATGAGGTAAGGAATGCTGTCTGCAAGGCCTTGTGTTGTGTCAACACTGAGCTGTGCGGCAAACAAGCTGGGCAAAGTGCCTTCTGTAGTTGGATATCCTCACCAATAACATTATTCTGGGGTTTGGCATGCCATTTTTTTGTTAAATGTAATTTTTGTTTCGTTTTCAGAAGCCGGTATTGATAAATATTGGTCGCGGAACCATAATCAGTGAAGAAAGCATCATCGAAGCCTTGAAGTAAGGTTCATTTTTTTTATTCCAGCTATTTTGTGCGGAAACTCTCCTACCTTGAAATATAAAGAGACAAAGGTAAAAATGACCTCTTGAAACTTACTGCTGTAATTTCTAGCGTTAATGTTTATTTTTTTTGCAGAGGTGTGACATATACCCTTCATTAGTTTATCGGATTCCACCCCAAACATTTAATCTAATTTGTTTACCATTATTTTTTAAGATTAACAAATCTCTACTTTCGTTCTTAGATTATAGTAGCTATATGTAACCTTGTTATGGGTCTCCTTTCCTACGTTTTTTGAGATAGCAATGACGTTTTGACTCTCATGGCAGTGACTTGAGACACACACATACTTCTTAGATAAAAATAAAAAAAAAGCAATGTACATTTTGCTTGAAGAACATTGTGTGAGGCAGGCTAAGGGAAAAATTAAACTGAATTAGGAAATACTGACAACACGAAATAGAACAGAGGTCCACAACATACAGCCCACAACCTACAAATTAGTTTTCTACAATTTGCCGTGCCACTAAAGCTTTTGGCCTTTATCACAAAATTATTGATCTTGAATTAAATGTTCATTAGAACCACTGCCATTGCTCGTGGAAGCTTTAGCTGCCAGTGACTCTAGTTGACACTATACTAAGCATGCTATATTACATATTTTGTGCGTAGGACAGCAGGACAGTATTGCATCTAGAAGGTTAACAGTGATCAAGAGACCTCTGATTTGTCAATATATATTCGGCGTGTGTATCTCCTCACTATAGCCTTGCCAAAAAGGCTGAAATCAGTTCCAACGGCCTTAGTGCTGCCTCTGAGCTGTAGCAACTATAGCACTAGTTGAAGCGTCAGCTTGTTTCCTTTTTTAAGATCTTGCACAAGGTCTTTATTCACAAGTTTGGTGCACTATGGTCGTTGTTGCCCTTGTACCACAATCGTAATCACATTTTTAACAATGAAAGCCAATGACATCGTGCATAATACATTGCCAACTACTCATTTAAGTCTATTTAATGACTCGAAGCGCGAAAAAGTAGGATTACGTGTTTATATTCGCTCAAATTTATATACAGAAGGGGCGGGTTACCGTGGCCCGCAGCCGAGATCATCCTGCCGGCATTCCATCTGTCCCATGGCCGCTGCACGTTTTCCCGCAGTGAACTCTGCAGGGGAATGCGGCAGTCGGGTTTAGTCGGACCCAGCAATAGCTTGTGGTTAGTAAACACTTCAAATAACCTTCCCCAGGCGTATTGGGGGAATTTCAGCACCCCAAACACCACTGCGAGTGCCTCCTTGTCGAACTGGCTATAGCTATTCTCTGCTGCTGTTAACCTCCTTAAAGAAAACGCCACGGATCGCTCTGCATCATTTTGCATTCGATGTGCCAACACTGCTCCAATGCCGTACGGCGACTTATCGCAACTCAATAGCAACGGCAACTTGGCATCGTAATAAATCAAAACATCATCAGACCTCAGCAACATCTTACTGGTTTCAAATGCTGCCGCTTGCTGACAACCTCACTTACAAGACGTTCCTTTCTGGAGTAACTGGTGCAGCGGATGCAGCACAGATGACAAGTTCGGCAAAAATCTTCGGTAGAAGTTTCGAAGTCCCAAGTGACTTTGTAGTTCACGTACCTCTGTTTATTGGGTTGCTTGGACAATGGCCTCAACCTTCTGGGGTACCGGATGCAGGCTATCCTTGTCGATGACTTAGCCCAGGTACTCGATGCTCCACGGCCAGAAGGTGCCGTGGTGCCGTGGAGCATCCGTTTCCACCCCCCCTTTTAAGTCTCGTGTAATAGGTCCAACACTGCCACTCGCAGCGACGCTGAAACCACCATACGGTTTCCCTGCAGCTCACAGCCGTCCATCACCGAGAATTCCTCCATGCGGTTTGTAAATGGCCACCACTCAGCGCAGTATGGTAAATGGCCCCCAGTCCACAACGCCGTACGTAACGAAGGCAGCACTGGGTCTCGGCCAGTTTCCGCCTTTGCTACTGCGGCAGACAGCACCGTTGTTTTCATACACGACCTCGTGTATAAAAACATCCAGGAATCTTGACTCCTCCAAAAGTTTGACTGGTAGTGGTAGTCGACTCAGGGCATCAGCATTACCCAAACTGGCACCTGGCCTGTAGGACAGCTTGTAATGGCAGCCACTCAGTGTCAACGCCCACCGGAGCACCCGCGGTGAACCCTGCAGCGGAATGCAGAAATCGGGCCCAATCAGACCTAACAATGGCTCGCGATTTGTAAGCACTTCAAATAACCTTTCCGAGACGTATTGGTGGAATTTCAGCACCCCGAACGTCACTACCAGCGCCCCCTTGCCGAACTGGCTATACACTCCGTGCGACACGACTGGCGCGCCGCCGCGCGGCCGGTACCGAAGGTAGGCAGTGAGCACCCCAGAGAAAACGGAACCGAAACCACGCCGCGTACGTTGGTACGCGTTGAAGTCGGAGTGGTGCTGTTGCGCTGGGTTCACAGCATGAAGTGCTGACTGTGCTGCGTCATTAAGTGCTTCAATAGTTATGCGTCGTATCTCGCGGAGACAAAGTTTCACAGTTTTTCACCTCGCCGATGTTTTGTGGGACAGCGACAACGATGGAGCCGTGCCGTATGACACGAGAAATTTGTTGTCCCGATCATGTCTGCCACTGTGTCGGCACGGCTGACATATTCTACACTGCCGCTTTGAGCTCCGAGTTTGTTTTCGTATCAGTAACGCCTACATGTGTCAGCGCCGATGGGACGAACTGAAATGCCATCCCACACTCGCGGGTATGCAGTGCCAATTTCGTTGGAGGAATGCCCTCCAAAGAAGTTTCGTCCCCATCGTACGTGTCGATGATATTTCCGGACAAATATGGCACACGATCTGTACTTCATGAAGAAAGATTTGAACGGTAAAAAGGTGACAAATATAAATCTAAAGAAAACAACCATGAAACTCGGAATCACTGGAGAATCGGCGTTTCAGTATGGAAGCTTATGTGGTGTGCTTTCTTTCTTGATCAGCCTCCTTCTGGATGTGGAAACACTGACACCCCGAGTTCTGTAGACAACAATTTTTTTTCTCGGCGTTAGAGCTACCTATCGCAAAGTGGTTCGAACTGGAAGTACCGTCCACTAGTCCCTTCCTACCTGTAAAGTGTGCACCTCCCACGATGAGTGGTATTTTCTGACAGCCTTTGACGGTCAAAGCCAGTTCCCATTTAGTTGCGCCGCCCAAACTAAATTTCCACCTGGTTTCGCTATGCCAAATATTTTTGTTATAATAAGTGTTGTGCCAAGTGACGGTCATGTCAAAGTACCTGTGGGCCGAAAATCAGCACCTCGCACAACAGGTTATTACACAACAGCTGACCGCAAAAGCACTTGGCGGCCAAACCGTGTGTTGGCCGACAACTTCGTTTTCTCGGCTTTGGAATCACCTTTCGTAAAGTTGTTTCAATTGGAAGTACAGTCCACTAGTCCCTTCCTACCTCTAAAGTCTCCACCTCCCCCGACCAATGGTATTCTCTTGACAGCCTTTTCATGGTCAAAACCGGTTCCCATTGAGTTACGCCGCTCAAATTAAATTTTCACCTGGTTTCCCTATGCCACCTTTTTTTTTTTGTATAATAAGCGCTGTGTCATGTTACTGTCAAGTCCAAGCACCTGTGTGCCCAAATCCGCACTTTGCGCAGCCCGCTATAACACAACATTTTGGGTCCAATATTGGATATACCGTACAGCTTTATTTCTTTATTCGTTAGAAACAACTTTCACACCTGCTGTCTTAATGAAACTTGGCACACTTCGTGCAGAAACTTAGTGGACATCTCACTCGCCTCCAAATATTATCGTTCCAGCAGTCTTAGGTTTACAGCGACGAGCGAAATAAATTTCCCACTCAAAGCAATTATGGTGGCGGCCGTCTTGCTTTTCGGAAAATTGCTCCAACTCCTTTTTTGGCCGCAACTAGAGAAATTCCCCCGAATAACGACTAAAACTCAATATATAAAAAGAGGAGAACAGCTAAATGCCCTTCTGCCCCAGCACTCATGCAACGTCACCCTCAACGTATCGGCTCAGAAAGCAAAAGTTTCGTCCGTGCGCGCTTCCGCCGCCACAGCTTGGCATGCGAAAAGGCGCCGCAGGCTGCAGAACGCGCCTCACGGTCGAACGCCAGCTCCTCCGCTAGCGGCGCTGCGCGCGTTTTTCAAAGCGCCCCCTATAGTTCCCGCAAGGAGTGTATAGTTCTTCTTTGCTGCTACTAACCTCCTAAAAAAAAGAAAAAAAAAGCCACAGGTTGCTTTTCACAATTTTGCATTTAATGTGCCAACACTGCTGCAATGCCGTACAGCGACTGATCGCAACATAATAACAACGTCAACTTGGCATTGTAATAAATCAACACATCAGCAGACGTCAGCAACTTTTTACTAGTTTAAAATGGTGCTCCTTGCTCACGACCCCACTTCCAAGATGCTCCTTTCTTGAGTAAGGGGTGCTGTACCAGTTACTAAAGGATGTGGCACAGATGACAAGTTCGGCAAACACCTTCGGTAGAAGCTAACATGTCCCAAGTAACTTTGTAGTTCACATGCAGCTTTCAATACGTTAAGCGTTGCCACCAACAAAGACGACGACGATATTTTTAGGCACGAGCCCAACGGCACGTATATTAAACAGAACGTTTGCACCTAAGCTCGGAGTCAGTCGTACCATCTCTTCCGTCTTCAACATCGAACGCGCTAATAAATTGGTGACCCGGACTTGATGATCGGTTCCGAGCACATGCCATCCAGGGGAACGTTTTCCGCAGCCCAGGGCATGGCAACGGCATGTCATTTCGCAGGTTTATTTGGGGGCACATTTACCACAGTCCCCGCATCCGGAGCCTACGTCACCACCTCTGCCTCGTCGCGTCTGCCGCCGGCATCTCTCAGCAACGGGCTGCGACCACCTCGCTCACCCCGCCGGCACGGCAAGTCTACGTTCGTT